TTATTATACCTCTGAATCAATCGAGTCGCTTTGCTTTTAGTCTTATCGTGAATACACTACTGTGTAAACTATAAATCTGGAGATAAATTGAGTTGAGCCACTACGTAAACTTAAAAGGATTACCACTCGAACACCCCGTCTAACTGTCGCAATTCGCAAGGATTGCACGTTAACAATACAGATCAAAGATCTTTATGTGACTTTTTATCTAATATCAAAGTTAAATCTTACTTTATTTCTTGTAATACACTATATCATTTAAAACTATACGTATTTATTAATTTTGCATCCTCAGAAGAAATGAATACAGTTGTCACTCAACAATATAATATAAGAGTAATATATTATATTAAATAGATCTAGTTGACAAACATTGTAGAAAATGTGGATCATCTGATCATAAAATCAAAAATTGCTTTAAAAAATGTGTTTAATTCTTACAAATCTCTTTATGATCACTTCAAACTTGAATAATATAGATTTTCACGTTCTTGTAGGTTCGTTAATACTTAAAATAACTTTTTATATGTAGATACTATCAAATTAAATCACTCATTTATAATAAGCAGCTATTGAACATAATACCTGATTGACTAACATCATTTTTTGATCATTCTGAAGTACTTTCCACACTAATCAGAAAAGTTACAGATCTAGAAAATAATTTCAAGCTTATTTCTAATATATTTAATGATATTAAAGAGAAAGTTCTAACTCAACAAAGAAATCAAAGAAATATTAACTATTGTCTTACCAGACTTGAACTATTTATAGACATTTCAGATAAGGATAAAAAAGTATTATCATTTGACCAAACTATTCTTAAAGACCTACCACATTAGTAATCTAATTCTAAAGATAAAAATTCTTCTATATCTGCTATAGATGCTTGCTAAAACCTCCTCAAAATAATTTCGTCATACCCTTTTTTATGTTTTTAATATAGTATTAACAGTTTCAGCTTTCGTCATATTGAATAGGTTTTGTCGTATTCCTTATTATAATTTTAATATAATATAATAGGATTGGATTGACAGATATGACGCAGTATATTGCAGATCTAAATATCAGATATATCAGACATATTTGATATATTTGATTTATTTGTTATATCTGTCTATGTATTAATTTAATATAAATAAAGAGCGATAAAATCATGTAAACTTAGGTTCGCTTATAATTTACTTTTAGATTTTCCTTTAGTTTACTTTTAAATACACAACTAGCAGTTCTTGTAAAAGCGCCTGACCTAAAATTTCAATTAGTATTTAACTCTCTTAATTTCTCTTATTTTTTCTTATTTTCTTATTTCATATATTATTATCATTTTATTTCTTATTTTTATCATCAATAAACATATTATTACACCTTTGAATCAATTGAGCTATTTTGCTTTTTGTCTTATTGAAAATATACTATTATGTAAATTATAAACTTAAGTTAAACTGAGATTAAGTCGCTATGTAAACTTAAAAGAATTACCACTCGAATACCTTGTCTAACTGTCACAATTCACAAGAATTGCACGTTAATAATAGTTTTGTCTAAGTTTTGACTATTATTAAGGGGTTTTATCCCTCATCTATAATATCCGCCATTATTACCATAGATACATATGACAATTTAAAATAATTAGCCAAATCATTGAATCTTAAGGTCCTCTCAGAAAGTCTCAATAAAATGCAAGAAGCTTTTTAATTTTAATTTCCAAATGCAAACAGTCATTTTTACACTAAACTAATATGCACATACAAAAAATAATTCTCACATATAAGACTGTTCTCAGTCTCCTTTGTTAATGCAGTAATAACTAATTATTATATGTTTAATTTTATAGTTAAATAGTAATGGTAATTCTTCTAGTAATTATTATTGAAGCCTAATAAGATAATTGGTTGATCTGATAAAATAGGGTTTTAAGACCTTTTATTCTTATTAAACAGTTTTTTTATTTTTCTATATTTATATTTTAGAGGATTTTCATGTAAAATTTTTTACTGATTATGATTATACTTAATAAATAAAAGCATTATTATATCTTAAAAAAAAGTGATTAGATTTAGATATTTTTAGTATTATTTAAAAGATCAGAACCTACCGAATTTGCATATTAAGTTTGAAAAGTAGGAAACTGATAGATGTCAAGATATTTACATTTAAAGTTTATTATAGCATATCATAATTTTGCTTTTTTGTTTTTTTTCTTTTTTTTTATTCCTTCTCTTAGGTTTTTTTATTTAATAATAATTTTTTGTTTTTTTTTTAATTTCAAAAATTTTTTTTTAATTATTTTATTATTTTTTTTTCTTTTTTCTTTCCTTCTTTTTTTTATTTCTCTCTGGTTTTTTTTTTTTTTAAATTATTTATAATTATTATTATTATTATTTTTTAAATATATTGTTATATTTTTTATATTTTTATATACAATATATTTTTTATACCCACCGGCATTTTTTATTTTTTTTAGTTTTTTCTAAATTTATTTTTTTAGATTTCTACAGTATTTTTTAAAATTTCTTCAATTGGTAATTTTTTTTTATTGTTTTTTTTATTGTTTTTTTTTTTTTAAATTTTCACCACTGCTATTTATTTCATTATATTTTTTAGATTTTTTTTTAATCTAATTTTTATTAATTTATTTTATTTTATTTTTTTTAGTATATTTTTTTCATTATTTAAGTAGTTCTTTGATATTTTCATTAGTGGTTATTTAGTAATTATTTAGTTATTTTGTTGATGATAATTTGGGTTTTTTCATTGATTCTTTAGTACTTGCATTAGTTCTTTCATTAGTAGTTCTTTGGTACTTTTATTGATGATTCTTTAGTTCTTTCATTAGTAGTTTATTAATGGTTCTTTAGTACTTTCATTAATGATTTTTTGGTCCTTTTGTTTATGATTCTTTAGTAGTTTATTTTTTCATTGGTGGTTTTTTAATATTACTTTAGTAGTACTTTTATTAGTAATTCTTTAGTACTTTCATTGGTGGTTCTTTGGTACTTTCATTAGTGATACTTTCATTAATAGTTCTTTAGTCCTTTTATTAGTGATTCTTTAGTTATTTAGTGGTTTTTTAGTCTTTTTGTTAATGTTCTTTAGTACTTTTATTGGTAATTCTTTAGTCCTTTCATTGGTAATTTGTTGGTGGTTCTTTGGTAGTTCTTTGATTCCTTTCATTAGTACTTTCAATGATAGTTTTTAGTTCTTTTGTTGGTGATTCTTTGGTATTTTTATTAGTGTTTTTTGGTATTTTTATTGATAATTTATTGGTGGTTCTTTAGTCTTTTCATTGGTAATTTATTGGTACTTTCATTAGTAGTTCTTGTTTGTTTTTTTTAAAAATAAAATAAAATAAAAAAGAATAAATTAAAAATAAAAAAATAAAAATAAAAAATAATTAAAATAAAAATTTTGCCAGATCTTAGCGATCTGTTTTGTTTTTTGTATCGCATCGCAATTTTTGTTTATTGTTTTTTCTAAATTAGGTGATCAGCAGTTTTATGACCCGAAGAGGTGGCATGACTTTTTTGTTAGTGAACCTATTGGCATAGTATATTATAGAAGATATATGATCAAAGATAACTTATATGAAATGGTATTTTTTTTAAAAAGTTGTTTTAAACATTAGGATTAGAACTTAAAGTTAAAATTTAAAGTTAAATTAGGATTATATTAGGGAATTTTAGTTATAAAAATCCTTTTATAAAAATGGTTGTGGCTATTAAACTAAGAAGGAAAAATATAGCAATCACTATGCCAAAGACTATATAAATTAAGTAATAAGAAAAATTTCAATTTATTATTACTATTATTGTAAAATTCAAAAAAAAATATGGTAAAAAGCATTCACTGAATACTAAAAATTAATTAAGTTATAAATCATTTATACTTAATATAAAGGGTCAATAGCAATATAAGAAATGTGAAGGTATACAAGATTTAGTCTTTATTTATATTAATATATATTAAATTAGATTCTTTGAATAATTAGTATATAGATTTGTTAATAATTTAATTGTTATATTGCTAAATAATATATATTATATAAAAATAGGGTATATAAAAAATCGCTATGTTGATAAATTACAAATTCTTAAAATAATAGTATTTTAAAATAAATATAAATTAATAATAAAATTTTTTAATACAATTATTAAAATAAATTAAAGATAAATTATTTATTATATAAATTAATATATATAGTATTTATATTATTTTTAAAAAAATACTAATAAGTAAATTTAACTAAAATTTTAATTAAATTAAATATACAGTATAAATAAATGTTTAACTATGATAAATATAAATTTATTTTATTCTAAAATAATAGTAAAAAATTTAAATTTAATATTTATTAAATAATAATAAGTTTTTTAAGATAATATACTGATTCATACTAAAATACATTTATAAAATTTAAATAATTGAATTTTTATATATTTATATTATATAATAAAATTTTTTAATTATATATCTATTTATCTCATATATATTTTATAGCAAATAAATCATTTATGCAGTAAAAATAAAGAAAACTACAAATTTATATGCTAAGATATGCATTTTAAAGTTAGATCTAACGAAAAACTTTTTTTTTTTTTTTGTATTTAAACAAGAAATATTATAAAATACAATCCATTTATTTTGTCAATCAAAAAAAAAAAGGTCCTCAAATTAAATTTATCGAAATTAAATATCTAACCGGCCCGAGGCCCAATGAACAAAAACCTGTTAAACAGATCACCATTATATTAATAAATTTAAATAATATATATATATTAATTATTAGAGAGTAGGGATAATATATCACCAAACTGCGCAGTTATTCAGATGATATATTATTGCCTCCTGTCCAATAAGAATGTTATCGTGTCAGTTATTAGGACTATGCTAAACTAAGAGAAATACCAAAAGTATTGATACTTTTTTAAATCAGCCCATAAATATCCGCATAGTCCTAATAGTCCGACAAATAAATTATTATATACTTTTTATTTAATTTACCATTTGCTTCTACAATCAACAGCTTGTTTTCTAACAAGTCTTTTCCTGTCGTCCAATGCCGTGCTCAACTCTTTTAAAATTCTAAATTTAAATGGAAATAATACATCAAATGGTATATGATCGGGTAATATACTCAAACATTGCAGCGCAGCTATACGGACTCGCTATAAGTTCAAATTGAACAAAAAATTAGTTCGAAATTGATCATCCTTCTGCTTTATCAATTCAAGAAAAATATATCAAAATACCATAGTATTTCCATGATCAGGTTTTGTCAATGATAATAATAATGGTATTAAAGTAGATACATGTTCGGATATTATATGTGAAGCATTCACAGATATAATATAAAATGTATCAATAGTTGATGCTTTAAGTTCAGCATCAGGTAATGATAGTGAATGTATAAGTAGAGGAAATAACTTAAAAAAGAAATTGACGAAAATTTTATTATTTAGAGATGACAAGGATGAAACAAAATCCATATGATAAACCAGAGACTCACCGGTGGCAATTCACTCAATAATACTTGTTTAGGAACATTTCTCAATAAGTATGATAAAGCAATTAAATAATTGTGTTTATCTTCTGCATTTAGAAACAGAGTTAATTAATAATAGCGCCATGACAAATTTAAAATACAAAAGTAAATTATGCTTACTATCGCTGGCAACTTTGAAACCTTCAACTAATTTTGGCATACAATAATTAAAGAATTTCTGCTTATATAGAATCTATTGCACAGTTGAACAAAAATTTGATTTTGTAACATTAACACGAACCCAATTCTAATTTTATAATATAAATAAGTGACTTATGAGATACTTACCCTTATAACAGCAAAACTTTGTTTATTTAACATATCACTTTCTCCAGTTAAAACCTCAAATCCTTCTAAGGCATGTTTCTCTAATATTGGATCACAAAATTGACTAGTTATTTGACTGGCGCATTCATAACTCAATGGATGAGCGCGCAATATTAATGCTTTTGTAAGCTAATATAAATATAGATCTTTACAATTAATTGAAAAAGAAAAGTTCATTTATTACACGAGATTTACCAATGACTTACCCAAACGAATATATATAATGAAGCTCGTCTTATATTTTCACTCTCTGTACTGAAAGACGTGAAATGATTCTTTAATTCTCCAAGAACTTTTGTTTCAACGAATTTATTCAATTCATTTTCTATATAAAACCAAAAAAAAAATAAAATAAAATAAATAAATATGATGTGATACCAAATCTTTCCATAATTAAATTAAGACTGACCTTGGTTCCATTTATTTAGAATTGAGGCAGCTAATTGAGCTAAGGAATGTTGTTGAAGTTTATTATTCGTATTCAAAGAAACTCCAATAATACCTGATAAAAATGCCGAAATATTTGATAACGGAAATGAAACCTTTAAATGGAACAATATTAATTTTAGTGATGCAATCACATACAAAGCCAATATTTATTATTGTGATGACATACTTCTTTCCGGCAAAACCCAACAGCTGCAGTAAATAACAATGTCAAATTTTGTTGTTTAAAATCTGATTCTATCTAAGAAAAATATAATTTATATCAATGAATTTGTAAGTGCAAGAAAAAACATTTGTTAAATGAGCTTACAGAAAGTGGATTGAAAGTTGTATCAAGTGATGTTTTATCCAGATCCGGAAATTCAAGGTATCTTGAATTTAAGTTGCCTTTCGTAAATATTTCAATTATATGAGAGATAAACATTGATTGTTCACTACAAATAAGCGAAAAATTTTTAACGAAATCACCAACAAAAGATTCCCGAGGAAGAAAATTGCAAATATCTCATACCTAACATTTAAGTTCCTCGTAATGACACTTATGATTCCAGCAACAACTTTAATAATTTTTTCCTCATAAAATACACTTTTCATTAAATTATTTACTTCGGCTTTACCGTGCAAACTTGGCATAATAGATTTAGTCAATAATTGAGGAACAAGGGAATTCACATAACGTGAAATATCAGAATGATTTAATGAAGTTTTCTTTAAAAGTAAAGTATGAAGAGAGTGTAATAATGATTCTGAATATTCAATTTCAGCGATTGCTATAATGAATCGTAAAAAAGAAGATAAAAATAAAAAAGAAAATTCGTTCAAACAGCTTACTAGGTTCTTATTAAAAGTAAAAAAAAAAAATTAAGAAGGTAACTTACAAGACGCAAAATCCAATTTCTTTAAAACTTGTGGCACATATGCTTCAAATAGTATAGGTTCAACAGCAAATTCGGATAAAGCGTCTAAAAACTTTAGATAATTGACTTTCATTCCAGATATATTATCGCTATTCAATTCATCTTCATTACAAGGTAGTTTATCCAAAAAAACTGGAAGTGTAACTTCCAATACGATTTGTGATTTATATTTAGCTATATTAGTTAAAGATTTTAATGCTTCATCTCTAATAAAATCGGATCGTATTAGTTAATCTTGTAGAGTAGAGGAGTATTTCTTTTTTTTATTTATTTTTAACTTACGCAATTTCTCGATCAGTTTCTTCCAAGATTGTTCGATTAAAATACTGCAAAATAACACCAATTTCGTTATCTTCAAAAAATTGACGTAAAAATATCATATCGTGTAATCCACGTAATCCACACAGCCTTAATTCATTATATTCGTTTTGATTATATAAAGCCGAACTGAATATTTCCAAATAATCATTTTTATATGGTAACAACAGTGTAACAAATTCACCATCTTTGAAAAGAAAACAAAGTCAATTAGCCAAAATTTTTTTGTTACATAAAAGCAAAAAGGAAAGCAAGCGTACCTAGATTTTCTGACGATTTGTCGATTGACCCATATAGATTTTGGCTTGCTGTTATATATACTCTTAACACTTCCAATAAACTCTTCTTTCTAGTTGCCAGATCACTTTCTTTATATTGTTGTATTAAGACTCTCGCAGTAGCCGAAATTATAATATTAAAAGACAGATCTATTAAGGGAAAAAAATATTTTTTTTTACACGGTTCACATACTTCCTTCTAAAATTCATTTAATTACTTTACCTGAAGCCATAGCGCAATACATTAAAATTCTTCCACAAGGTTTGGCCAATTTCAATTCCGGCTCTTTTAGATTTTCCATACATTCAGTTACGATAGTCTTTAAAAATTGTTGTAAATGATCTATTATTCCCAAGGATAATGTAGCTATAATGCTTTTAATTGCTTCCAATGCTATATTTTCAACTGAATCATCTGTAGCATTAATTATCTAAATACAAAACATTACAAAGGAAAATAAGGTTAACAGCTTGGAAAGAAATTTTAAAATTAGTAACGAAAAGAAGATCAATTAACTTCATCTCTAAGATATTCCCATAAATCTTCCAAGTATGGTACGATTGAATCTGGTCCATACACCGGAACACATTCTGTTAAAGTCTCAATGGAATCTTTCTTTGCATGACCCGAACTTGATGTTAATTTTTCTAACAATAATGGCATTGCCAATTTAGAAAAATGTGATGTTGCCGATAAACATTCTCTACAATAATTATATATTATTAATGAAATATAAAAGGTTCATGAAATAAACTTGATCAGAAATATCCTATACCTAAGAGCAATTTTCAAGTCATCAGCTGTTATACCATATGGATCATCGGGCGGCGGTTTAAATGTAATTGGAAAGTAACAAAATGTCACCTCAAATAACCTCTATAATAAATACATTTTTTTTAAAAAAAATATATTCAATTTTAATCTTAAAAGAATTATTAAACAAATACCTCAACATTCTGAGAAATATCAAATTCATGTATAATTAATTTAACTAAGGAGAATGCTAATAATAAATTTCTAGGATCTTTCTCTCCATCCATTGCTTGAATGAACCCATTAACAAAATCTTGTCCCATTTTCTTTAATGCTAATAAAATAATATATATTTAGTAGAATCATCTTAAATTAAAATTAAAATTAATTAAATTAGATAATGAGCATATTTACCATTTAAATGATTTTTTAGTAATCTGTCAAATATTTGAAATACATAATGTCTAGATGTTTGCTGAAATGATTGTACATTTACACTTGCAAATATTCTATTAAATAAAAGTTCAACAGTATATTAATAAAAAACCACATATTTTTTTCACATATAATTAGAAATATAAATACATACGAATTTGCGACCCTTGATGCATTTTCATGATGAAACGTAGTAAAACACGTAAGTGATGATATTCCTTGTAACAATTCAGGAACACTTGCTGTATCTGATAATCTTTCACAATAAAAATCTACCAGCACTCTTACTATAACGCATATTAAATAAGTTGTTTAAGAACTAATTTGAGAAATCTTATTACTAAAATGAAAATTTAATTATATTTACTTGTTGCATTGTTAACTTGTTCTTGCGGACAATCTGCAAGAACTGCTGATAAGAGTGCAGTCCCTATATTTTATATCAAAGAATTTGATTTATTGTCATATTTGTTTAACTTAAGCATAATAACATATCATCAAATTACCTCTAGCACGAATTGTAATATCTTCACTTGTCAAAAATTCACCAAGTACTTGAACAAGTGATATTAGATTTGATTGTCCACTATTTATACCTAATTAAATCAATTATACGACAAATAATAAGAAAAATTAAATCACATCAATGTTAATTCATAAGAATTCATAAGACATACTAGTTGCAATTTTAGAAACAATGGATTTTGATTCGGTCTCATCATTTGATGTAATCATATAATTCCTTACAAGTCGTTCCATTTTCAAATTATTTTCTTCAATTATTAAATTAATGAAAAAAATTTATTTTGAATTAAAAAGATGAAATAAAAATAAACAGATTATCATTTTCAACTTGTCTGATATCTAGCAAATAATTACGTAGATCGTTGATCAAAAAGGTTATGTTACGTAATATAATAGATTTTGCTATTTTAGTTAGCATTAAAATTAAAAATTGATGATCGACATTAAATCGAAAACTCAAACACAATTTTTTTTTTAAAGAATATGGATATATTTTTTTCTTAACAATTTTAGAAAATTATCTTTTAAATCTAAATATAATCTTATATAATAATACAATTCAATCTTTTCTAATCTAAATTTTAAATAAATATAAATATAGAAAAAGTTTAGCTATGTCTGATTGCTCAAGGGATCTGAAACTGCTGTATTGCTCTCTCTATGCTCAGAATTATTACAATTGACGTGTACAATATCATTGTTTGGTTGTCTCATAAAATCTGATCCACTGATATACTCTTTACATATTGAACATGATACATTTTGATTTATTACAATTGGTCCAATTGCTTGATATGCTTGATATAATTCAAAACTCGTCTATAAATAGAGGAAAATATTTAGTTGTACATATTGAAGCTTGAAATATTTATTAAGAATAAAAAGGAATTACCATGGTGTTCTCGCCACGACACAATCCTTTTAGAATTTGACCTTCCCTATACTCATGATAATTTTGCCTTAATGAACGAATCAAAAATTCGTTCAACATTTCAACTGACCAGAATTCCGGTAATGATTCCATAACCTGAATATTTCAGGAGAAAAAAGTCGATAAGTCATTTCTACACAAATTTTCGTATGATATGAATGCTTACGAACCTCATTGGTATCCAAATACACCGCATGTGTATTCAATAAATTTATTATTTTTTCAATAATTTCGTTTCTAAATAAAAGAATGGAATAAAGTATTCTTATTAATAAAATAATAATAATAAATTGGTGCATGGTGAATAAATGTGTTATTTACCCATTTTGAAGATAAACTTTTAATAACATTGAGAATAAAGTACGTCTTGTAGAAATCAAATCCTTATCTTCAATAGATTTGTTATCCGATTGCTTCTTAGCTGATATGATACCAATCATTCGACCAGCATAGAGACAATAGAATTCGGCACCACGATAATCTCTTAAATCATCGACTAATATATGTAAAGCTTTCTCATGATCATCCAACTTTTAAATACAAAGGTTCGAAATTAATATAAAGTTACGGTTATAATAAGTTACAATAAATTAAATTTACCTTTCCATAAACGACAGCCAACTCAGCTTTTAATATTTGAATTTCAAGCAATTTATTCAAAATTAATTTTGCATTATATCGAGTAGAAGATTGTAAGAAAGTGATTAAGGTGGCTCTTCCTTGTGATAATAAATCTTCCTTTGATTGATTTAGCAAGAAAGATAAATACGTTTTCGCTGAATCGTTTGGGTTTTTTATAAATTCATTTGCTATTATCATAAAAGAATAATAGGTTTAATAATTTGCTTCATATTCAAATCAAATCATCTTAAAATACTTGCTCATTGTTTCAATCTTCACTTTCGCTTCATTCGATTGCAGTATTGTTTCTAATTCTTCTACGTATAAGAGTGCCAGTTCTGTATGATGCTGTTCTTCTTGACTTTTTCGCTGTATGACCAAATATTCCAAGTATAATTTAAGTCCGTTTTTACCAACCGTTCTTAATTGATCCAAGACCAAACTAGGTTCAATCAATAGAGATCGCCTTAAATTAGGTTGAATAAATATCTAAATAAATTAAAAGTATATCTCAGTCCGAGTTCACGTATAATTTTAATCCGGATAAATTTATACCTGGGCTCCAATGACTTCGTCATGTTTGGTAATCCAATTAGCATATTCTAATACTATATCATGATCATCCAACTTTCTAAGCAAATTTGCCATTTGTTTTAAACAATTAGGGCCATCCTTGTCTGGATGATCTTCTTCAAAAATTCTATATTTAAAATTTATAAATAAGCACGTCAAAATCATTTATCCCTTTTTAGTGATTAAAAAGTACTAACTTTTTCCATAATTCCAATGATTTTTTGTATTCTTTATTGTCTTTATAAAGTAAAGCCAAAGGATAATATTTCTAATTAAATATAGATAAAGAGGGGATTTTATTAATAAAACCTATACTTTTATAACATATTTTTTAAACAGGTCTAATTAATTCTCACCTTGTTATCAAATAAAATTTTTTCACTAAGTTCCAACACACATTCATTAGAATTTTCTAATAAAGAATTTAATTGTTCGGAGTTAGATTCAGCGTATAACCTAAGTAAAGCGTTATCAACAGCCTACAAAATTTATTAAAAAAATTATTTTAGACTAATATACAAATAAATCTGCGAATTGATATTCACACCACCTTCGGTTTATATCTCTACCCTCAAAATATTTCTTTTATCTGGCTTCAAAGTTTTTCCTTTGTCTCTTCGTTGTTCACGATACTTTGTTAGAAACTTTTGTAACATCTCTTTTGCATTCTTAATGAGTACTTTACGAAGTTCTTTTGTAGCGTGTGATGATTCAAGATCAGGCTTAATATGAGGGTCATAATTCTTAACAAGGCTACGTGATACTATAAGGGGAAAAAGATTTCAATCAAGGGGGTTATAAACATCAAATAATTAAACTAAATAAATCAATTATTTGTAGTGAGTATATGTACCAATATCATCAATGGCACCAAGACGTTTGATAATTGTTTTAACGCCGGAATAAACAGTAAAATTATTATCATAACATATAATCTCTCTCAAGTTTCCGAATAATTGAATTAATAACCGAGGATCGATTCCTCCTTCTTCGAAAAGTGGGAAGGCCATTTCAAACAATGTCTCTCCAAGGTAAAGGAAGCCAGATTTTTGAAGAATATAATTAGATTCATGACGCTATAAATATGCCAATCATTCAAGTTATAAATTTATGTGAATAAATTGTAATATTATTATTAAATTACGCTATAACTTACCATGATTTCGCTATGGACATTATCTGGAGTTGATGTCTTCATCGCTTGTCTGGCCAATTCTACAGCTTCATCTATGCGGGCAGAAGAATCCAACATCGAATCAGCCTTAATAAATAATTACATATGCATATGAAACAAAATGTCAGAAATAATCATTTAAAAACAAAAGAATTTGAGATGAAATAGTCTAACCTGAACGATCAAAGGTGTTGCTGTTAAAGCAACAACTGATTCACTTCCAGCAATTATAAGTCGAGTGGGAATAGTTGCTAAAAAATTGGATTGATTACTGCTTGACCCTGTGAGAATTTGTAAACCATCTACGTCAGATGAAGTATTATTATCTAGTTGGGAAGAAGAATTATCTTCATTCAATAAATATCCACTCTCCAATTTTAACTTATCAATTAAACCGGCGACCTGAACTTTAATACCAGGCCCAGTTGAGATGGTTTTTGATTTTGACGAAAGGACTTCGCGTTGAACAAGTTTAAGTTCAGTTATATCGTGAATTTCAATAGTGTTGTTACGCAATAAAGCAACAACATATGGAAATTCGACACTGATCGCTCTCGGAAGCCCTTCCCATTGTATAATTCCACGAATAGCTTCCCCTGTGGACGAAACAAATTGTCCAAATGTCATTTGTAATCAAACAAATTAATATTAAGGATTATATGTAGTAAATTAAATTGAAAAATAATATCAATTGATAATCATAAACAAGGATATGATTAGTAGTCGGTATGGTCAATAAAAACTCTCCTGCTCTGATAACAGTAACTATAGGGTTAAAACTATCGCCAATATCAGATAGATATGGTTGTACAATTTCCATCCGTTTTGTTGATAAATTAATTATCTTATATTGATGCAAGTCCGCGACAAATATATAAGGACCATATTGACACGCAGTAATTGCCCCATCTGGTACTTGCATAGGCTATTGAAATTCAATTATAAAATCTTATCAATGAAATATTTCATATATAACTGCTGAATGGGATGAATAATTACTTACTGTTTCTTCGGAATATCTATCTGTCAGCGAGTATATATGTAGCGTTCTTTTCTTCATTACACATAATTTGACTGATCCATCTCGTTCAAGTTTGCCCTCCTTTGAAGTATCATGACAAAAACATGTAACTCCTTTAATCCATGGGAAGTTTGTCGTTGGTAATGCGGTCATCTCAGGAAGAGAGTAAAAAGACAACGTGGATTCTAATTATTATCCAAATTCAATTAATACAAATTCCAATTGCTCAAGATAAATATTTGTTACTTGCCACACAATATTACGGCAGTATTAATTTGGGGGAGAAGCATTATACGTTCAACTTTCCTTTTCCAACTAAGAGCTTGTTTACTGATAAGAAAGTTACTCGGTATATTCTTTATTTAATGTATATCAGTTGAAATTTTTATTACATGATAAATATTTTATTTTTAATAATTAATTAAAATACATACATCTTTGGACAAAACTTGATCATCGAGCAAATAATGAATTAACTGTCCATCCGAAGTGCCTATGTATAAATTATTTTCTGGAACAATATTAAACGAAAAAGAAATATGAATCTAAGTAAAAGTACATTTATATATGAAATAAGTATATAAGGTAAACTGAACTATTTTTTAAATCAAACTAAAAACTAAGGTAGAAATTCTAATATTTCTATAATATTTTCGTGTCAGTCCTGAAACTGTAAAGCGTAAGAGCCATTGGAATGTTAGTCAACTTACCCCAGGCCTCAACAGATTCTACCGTAACTTGACTATCTTTATTTCCCCATCCAATGCTACTAGTTAGCCTCGAACCTGCGCCAGCTCTGTTACTCTCTCTTCCTCCAAACAATCTACTTCCACCTCCAGAACTTTGGGTAGCCTGCTGGCTATCCTCAAAAGGTAGTGCTTTTATTAAAGTCTGCAGAGAAAAAGGTGTGTAAGACATCACAAAAGGTTGTTTCAATAGATAGAAACGAAAAGTATAATTTATAACTAATTCTCCCTATGATTGGAATAACCTGCAGTAAGTCCGGGTAAGTTAATCGTTTTCGGTTAGCGTGGTTAAGCAAGACCCATCATATGCAAAATTCTTTATAATTTGAATCACGTGGATTTTCTTTCCTAACAAAGGTTCGAATTGAGTAGATTGTTATTTGTTTTTTGAAATTATTAGCAAACACCTTTTAAGTTTCTTGTGGACATTTTTGTTCCAGCAGTCGGAATTTGAACTCTTGACTTTATCAACCACATCACCTCCAGAATTAAATAAATCTGCAACACTACAAGGCGCATAGTTAAAATTACGAGCAACAATTTTGAACATTCCCAGGAAAAGGTATTCTGTCTTTGAATCTATTTCTGTCATTTAGGGTATCGTTCTGAGCTGCGGTAATACATGTCACCATCCTCCCGCCATTATTCATAAGGTAATTTTTTTTTGTAAACATTCAGGTGTTCGAATATATATCTGCTTGGTCTTGTTTCTTCGAAAAAAAGATAAGGTAGTTATATAATCTTTTGAGCTGATTTCTTTTTATCAATTAAATGGTTATTTAAATGTACCAATTTATCAACGTATTACGGTCGCAGTTTTCAAGTAGTCACCGTGAAAAAAAAACATCAAATCAATTGTTGGAAGTGTCTGCTAAAAGGTGAGTATAGTTCACGCAGGTTTATGATTTCTGTACAGATGATTGACTTATATAAATCTTATTTTTGTAATACGGTACAGGCCAAAACGGTAAATTTTCATTCGACGAATATGTTGACTCCACTGAGGATAATAAAAGTGAGATTTCTGATGATTCCAAAAATTATCAACGTGGAACCTTTGGCAGATTGGGAATTTGATTTTATGTTCTCAAACTGCCAAAAATTTTCAATCTTTGGACGTTATTTCGTCTCATCTCACAACACGTGTTGATATGCCTTACGGAAAAATTGCATCTCAGCTTTACAACACCTTGGAATCGTATTAGCTCAAATTCCTTTAATTATTCAATTAAATGAATTTCTAACTTCAAGCATATAGTACATAGAGAAGGCGTATCCATTTCAATAGAACTTGTAATAAATATTATCCCTTCAATGGTATTGCAACCTGCAATTTTATTTAGCAATTAAAATTATTTATTAAAAATCAATACTTTTATAATAAATTATATGTTTTCTAAAAAAAAAAAATGTAATTAACTAAAAATAAATATATAATAAATTATTATAAAAAAAAAGTTAAATTTTTAAATTTATATCATTGCTATTTATTGATCTCATATATAAAAATACTGCTATTTAATAGATCTTAATGTTGTAATTTATTAAATAATAAGTTATTTTTAAAAATTGAAAATTGATATATATTGATAATTATAAATTTTAAAAATTTAAAATATTACCATTAGATATATCTTAATATGATAAATCTAATTAATTTTATTTCATCTTTTATGATTTCTTTTTTTAAAAGATAGTAATACAATATTTTATTATGAATAACAATTTAATAAAATTTTAATAAAATTCCAAAAATAAGTATAAATATAAAAAAAATAAAAATTGCTATCTAATTATTTTTGAAAATTAAAAAATCAACTCCAATCAAATTAATCAGTTATCCTATCTGTTTCTAATTATAATGATTAGTAAAATATTTATTAATACTAAATTAAAGAAAAAAAAGGTAAAATAACTAATTATTACTAATCTAAAAAAGAGTTTAAGAATTATACTTTGACATCAATTAATTTTAATGATGTTAAAATTAATTACGTGAATTTAATACTTATTATAAATTATTAATTAAATAATTACATTTGTTAAAATACAATTCATCTATCAAAATATAATTTAATTAGTAATCTATCAATTTGTATTAAAGTATACTAAGAATAACTATATTTTAAGAATTAATTTAAGTAATTTAGTGAATTAATAAAATGATATAAATGAATGCTAGAAAATTTATTAATATAAAATTTTGCATTAACTAAGAAATTATGTTTTTTTACATATTTAATGTATTATTAGTTTTTTACAATAATGATATTACATCTAGTTTTTCAAATAAGATTATAAGTCTAATTTTATATAAAATCATAAAAGAAGAAAGAATAAAATAAGAGATAAAAAATAAAGATGTGAATTTTATTATATTATTAAGTAGGTAAAATAAAATAATATTTTTTATTATATTAATAAAAGTAAAATTATAAAGATCTGATTTGAAATTATTAAGTAGTATTGATTAAATAATTTTCAAAAAATTGATAATTAAAAGATATTTAAATAAAAATTTTAATTTTAGATTATAGACTTATAATTCTTTAAAAAATAAATCATAAATATTTTAAATTAAATAATTTAAAAGTAAATAATTAATTAATATTTAAATTATTATATTTAATATTTTATTTAAAATGATAATAATTAGTAAAATGTTTTATATTAGTGAAATTTTTAAAGAAAGTTTATAAAAAGATATATTATCAAATATAAAAATTTATTATAAAAAGAAATATAAATTAATAAAAGTTATAAAGAAAGAGTCAGAATTTATAATTTTATTAAATAATCTGATTTATTATTATAAAAATTATTAAAGTAAGTGGCTATTTTAATAACATTTAATATCTAATCATTTATTTATATAAATAATTTCTATCAAAAAGAAGTTATAAATATTTTATAATTAATTTGTAAAAAATAAAAATGATATTTAAAATTAGTAATTTTGATAGGATTATTAAATATAAATCAGTTTTAGAGATTCAATTATAAATCTTAAAATTTATAAAATTTTAAAATTTATTTATTTTTATTAAATAGTTTATTAAAATATTATAATAAATAAGTTTAATAATAAATTTATAAAATATTTTTGTAATTTTTTTAGAATTTTTAAGATTACTTAAAATTGTTTAACATCCTTACTTTTTAAACTTACTTTTTATAATTTAATAAATTTCAAAGTTTTAACTTTATTAATTTTGTAATAAATTTTGTTAATAATTTTTTTTTAATAATAAATTTAATTAAAATTTGATATTTTAAATAGTATTATTAATTATTCTTTAAACTGTAAGTTTCTAAAATATTTTAGAAAACTTAAAATATTTTGATATCTAATGATTATAAAAAAAATAAAATAAAATTTTTAGATTTATTATATTATGATGTATCTAATAATAGTATTTTTAAATTTTTAAAATTCATAATTATTAATATATATTAATTTTTAATTTTTAAAAATAATTTATTATTTAATAATTATAAAATTATAAAATTTAGTTTATTGGATTCATCATATTAAGATCTATTAAATAATAGTATTTTTTATATTTTTGAGATTGATAGATAGTAAAATATATAAGTTTAAAATTTTAATTTTTTTTATAATAATTTACTATTTATTTATCTTTAAAAAATTACTAGTTAATTACATCTTTTTTATTAATTTTTATTTAGAAAACATTATAAAATTTATTATAAAAGTATTAATTTTTTAATAATATATCTTAAAATATTTAAAAATATTTAAAAATTGCTTACAGATTATAAATAAAATAGTTACAAGGATAATATTATAAAATTTATAACTAGATTATGAAAACTGTTAAAATATTTAAAGTATTATATTAATCATATAAAAAAAATCAGAATATTTTTATCAAATGATGTAAATATAAATTTTATATATCAAAAAAAATTTATATTATAAAAAATATTATTTTTTTACTTTATTAAAATATATTTTAAATAATATTTATTTTTACTTTATTAAGAATATATTTTTTATTTTTTTAATTTTAAGTTGGATAAATTAAATTTTGATTAAAATGTAATTTTTAATTAACTATTTGATAAAATATATTTTTCACTAATTTAATAAATATAAATTTTTGAAATTTTAAAGTGAAAATTTATGTAATATATATAATACAATACATGTTATGTAATACAAAATTGACAATACATATTTAAAATCTAATTCATTAATTAATATGCAAATAGAATAATATTGCATTTAAAATATTTAGAAGTAAAATATCATCTATTATATGTTAGATAATTATGTAATATATATTTTATTTATTTATTGAATTATTAATAAACTTATTTTTCATTTATATTTTACAAATAAATTAAATTAAATTTAATAAAAAATATTCATATAGTAAATTTTACAATTTCTTAATTATTTTAATATATAATAATTTAAATTATATCTAGTATTAACATTAAAAATTAATTCTAAAAAATGATTTGCAAAAATCATTAGATTTAATTTTATATATATTATATTAAGAAAGATTTTGAATTATATTATCAAAATTGATCATATACTGCATTAGAAAATTAGATTCATTTATTAGATTTATAAGATTTGCAGAATTTATCTGATTTATCTAAATAGTTTAATTTATTAAATTCTTTTAATTCTTTACATATTTATTATTTTTGCTATAATTATTATTTTATTATTTTTAGTATTTTTATTATATTTTTATTAGATTTTATTTACAAGGTTTCATTATTTTATAGTTAGCGAATGGTAAGTCATAATAAAATAACTTTATATAATATAATACTTTTTATACAAATTATAAATTAACTTACTTGTAAATTTCATATGAGTTTTAAGTTATTAATAAAAGAATCAATTAAAATTACTTTTTTCTTTAATATTATCCTTTATCTAGAATTTGTTATAATACTTTATACTATCTTACTTTTGAGTTAAACATTATAAGTTAGACTAAATAAATCTTAAATCTAATATAAAATAAATTGTCAAGTTGATTTAAATATAATAGATATCTGTAAGATTTAAAGAAAATCTTAAGTCATAAACTTTAACAAGTAGAATTAATTACTACAGCTTTTTAACTTAGATATTAAGATAATTGAAAATGAATTTAGTGATAATAGTTTAATATAAAGTTTTTA